AAGTGATAATCGGATGACAATTGCATAGAAATCTAGTTAACTTTTCTACAGAAAACATTAAGTTGAAAAATAGAATGAAAAATGATTTATACGTAAAGTAAGCACTGATAGCAATGTCTAGAATAACAATGAAAGCGTTACTATTGAACTAACCAACAGCCTAGAGAGCACATATCATGAAACTCAAGCACTTAGGCTATGAATAGTTTTCATCTAGTTATTGTTATTATTATTATTACAATATTTTTCACAAATTAATTAAGATCAATGCGTCATCAGATTGGATATTGTTAACTAATACTTAAATTTTAGATGAAAATAAGAGCATAGTTAAGTGGTGGTACATTGATTTTCCAATAAAAATTGTAACATATTCATTAAGAAATGAATGGAAAAGTTGATAAAATGAAATGGCACTAAACTTAAAAAAAAATAAAACATCTTACTTGTTGTAGTCCTTCAGGTTGTGAATTATCTAAATACATCACGAGCACATTGATCACAGGTCGCAGTGATTGTGATAAGACTTTCATCTAAATAATAATCATGAAAAAAATTAGTTATAATGAATGAATGAATTGAATAAATATGTACAAAAAGAGGATATATATATATTTATATTTATATTGATACGTATATTCACTTACTTGCCTACAAAGTGGTCCAATCTCTTTAAGTAATCGTTTTTGTACACGATAAGATGTAAGATATTTGTATGATTTTGATGCTGATGCACTAGAAAACAAGTAGAAGAAAGAAAAAAAACAGGAGAAAAGAACACACATCAACTTGCTAAAAGGACTGACTGAGCAAAACAAGTCAAGAGATTTTAGAAAATATAATAAGAATTATAGTTCATTGTATAATTAAACACTAGAATGACTGTTAATAAAAATGTACATTTTATTGAAGCAGATGAATAGAGATGAATTTTTTTTAAAAAAAACAAAGATTTAAACTTCAATTTTGGTCGAATAGATTTAATGAAATAGAAATTACTAATCAATTAAAATAATATTTTACAATAATTTCATTTACAGTTAACATGCAATAAATAAGTGTATTATAGGTGATTCGAATGCCCGCCAAATGATAGTAATCGATGGTTAGAGGATCTGAATGACATGGCCCAAAACCGTTTGCAATGGCTCAGGTGCATTTATTCCTTGTGTCCTCGCAAATCCTGAGCTTCAGATGTCCTCATTACATTTATATTTTTTCTTTTTAAGATTATTTCACTAGATTCTACTTCTTCAATAAAATCGTCGAACCCTAACACTTCAGATTACTGCTAGTACTTTTAATGCACCTCTATTACAAGTGACAATTGCATTTCTGTGCTAATGTGGTATGGTAACTTGAACTGATGTACGTACATACACGTACGAAGTTCTACGTTGCTGTTGATTGATTCAGGCAATTCAAATGAATAAAGTCAACAACAATAAATAATATGATAAAGATGGTAAATTCACCTTACAGAAGCACCACGTGTTAAAAATAACACTAAAGGAGGAATTATTTCCGATGATGCACGTTGTCGAATAAAATTTCCAGCAACTTTAGATAATACAGTCAAAAGATCAAATGCCTTGAAAATAATTAAGACAAAGATAAAAGAACACATAATTTAGAGAATTAACAAATTGTTTATATCGGAAATTATAATTCCTCTGAAACATCCTATGTTCAATAAGTGATCATTAAAAACCTTAAGTAGTAAATATTACATTTGATGGTAGAAAGGATTAATTCATAACACACCTTATGTAATTAGTACAATCAATTACATTCTCATTCATCTTTACAACCTTTTATTATTACTATTTAATATTCAAACAAAAACATTGGTATAAAGGGTCACCTAGACATTTATGCTTTACACGAATCAATGAATTTGAGTGTGCTGGGATACTGCCCCAGCGCTCAAACTGAAACAGGTAGGTTTCTTAGCTGGCCACTCCCCGAGTCTTTGGACCCAAAAGTCTGGTCAACAAGTCGGTTGAGCAACATTAAGAGATACAGTCCCATGGTAGCCAATGATCAACAACAGGCTCGTTCCGTCATAATCCTGGAGCCCATTCGCACCATTGGTTTGGAATGAGGGTTTTCCAACTCATCTAGGTGGATTCACCGTATATACCAGGCTGGTTTAAGCCCTGGCCGGACATTCAGCTTTTGTCCTTTCAATTTCTTAAACAAAACCCCTGCCATGAGAGGGTAGTGAGAACCTCTCTGGTTGTGGCTATACACGCTCAGACGTACCATGGCATTTCAATAAATTTTTTATGAAAGTTGAAGATAATATTAAAAATTTTCTTAGATAAATTTAATGTGGTGTAACAGTTTTGGTAGTTGCAATTATATTATTGTTTATTTAAAAATGATATTTTTAATGATAAACTGTATCAATGTACAATGTTGAAAAAGTTTAATCCAATAAATAAGTAACAGATAACATGTGATACTGAATGTAGAATTATTGACTGATATATAAGCATTTGTTAGAAATGTTCACTATAATACATACAACAAGCAAACAATTGGTATATTTTCCACATTTTTAATCTTTTTCTTGAATTACTTACATATCATAATTAAAACATCATAAGTGTGAGTGATAATTAACAAAAAATTAACTCTATAATTAAATGTGTATCATAACTTTACTACAAATATTTTAAAGACCATGTGTGTATAAAGGAAAATCGTTATAGTAATGTACAGTACTTAGAGTGTTTTCCAGTGTTATAACTGCTATTAGTAGTACAATCTAAGAAAAAAAATATTACTGAACTATACAGTAGAAACTGACATCTCAGTGCATCAGTGTAACTTAACACGATGATTCGCAAATGCATGACAACTCAAGACAGTATAACTAACAATTAAATTGTACTCATTGTATTGTGCAATGTCTGATTAACCATACTTATGTACAAACTGTTTATACACAAACTCAAAGAAGCCACTTCACTGATTAAAACTGAATTCATTCATTCTAGAATAAAAACATTTTTGTCTCTTAAGAAAATAAAGTTAAATCATAACATGCGTTAATCTTTTTTTACATCTATAGTTGATTAGCTCAATGTATTAGTAATAGTATATACTACTTAATTAATATGGCATAGCTTGATGTGAACAGAAATAATGTACAAAAATTTATTTTGTATTGGTTTTTTTTATATTTTCAATGTATTATTTGAAAAGAAAAAAAGCAAACTTACTTTCTCAACAACTATAGCATGATTATCATGAAATCGTTTCATCAAAGAAGACCATATTTTATGTACAATTGGTAATAATAAATCTAAAAATTTTGACAAAGCATTAAAATTTCATTATTCGAATTTATTTTTTTAAGAAAAAATTGGACTTTTTTTTAACTATTCCATAAATACACAAACCTCAAGTGAAAAATTGTCTTTTCAAGTTCGAATTAATCCCGTTTTGCACAACTGGACACTACAATTAACCTTCAATGTGTAGAACAGAGTTATGTATATGACCCCTATTTAAACAGCTGAAAAATCCCCGCCTTATTTAAACTAGATCCTTATAAAAAAACTCAGAGATCAACTCAGCAGATCAACACACAAACAAATTATCCCATTCATACCAATTTTAGATGTGTATAACTTCTCATATCCATACTATAGCTAAATGGTTAGTAATTCTATTGAAATCACTTAATAAAAAGCTCATAAAACATAATGTTAAGGATGTATGCCAATTTGTTGATAAGATCAAAAATGCAAATACTATGGGACAAACTGTGATGTCATTAGATGTAACATCATTGTTAACAAATGTTCCATTCACGGAAACTGTAGAATACAAATGTGAATAATTTAGAGAAAACGAAATTATTATCATTATTATTACTATTATTATTATTATTATTATTATTGGTTTAACATCACTATTAATCCCCCAAATACAAGTAATCAATTTACTTAACACCCATCCTAGTTAATTATTTGGCGTTGAATTTACATTAGATTATTCACCAAACATTCGATCGAATTTAGCAACTGCATTATCATTTCTCTTAATCAATCTCACTCATATTTATTCTCATAATTGGTGTCACAATTTCATTTATCATGTACACTTATTCAAGTTAACACTTCAAATTAGTTTTCTCAAAATTAATACTTTAATTTTATTTTACAAATGATCCTAACTTCATGTATGATTTAATTTGAGACGATGTAATTTGACTTAAATGTAGCCATTTCATTGGAGCGTAGAATCTGATGAGAATTTACTGAAAAGAATATTCTTCTTTTGTAAATTACTTGTTTTCATAATTGAACATTAATGAAATAGTATTATTATACTACGAACTAGTTAAACAGTTTAAATTTTCAACGTTGAACTCACAAAGTTAAAACCCAACCCTGTTCAACGTTGATTTTATTCGTATACTTCAAGTGACCGATTTAATTTCAAATACTAACTCATACCATTGGTCTTAATCATCAGTTTGATTATACTTAGTTATTAAACTGTAATTAATACTGGATAAATTGCATTCTATGAATTTAATTAAAATATTATTTTAAATCATGAATTGATCACTTTTAGGATGTAATTCGAAACCTGGAAGCATCAGACGACCGTTTCGTGGATGTGCACAGTTGATGAGTCCCATACTAGGACGAAACCGTTGCCCAGTACGTCCAGGCTTCCAATTATAGTCTAAAATTGAACGATTCATGATTTCGATGAAACTCGAAAATCTCCACAAACATACAATAACAAAAACAGGATATTATTACGTCGCGTTGTTGATATTTAGGTCTAAAATTTCATACTGTTATTTAAACAAATTTTAGCTAATAAATTGAAAACAAAACTAAATACACCTCCTAGATTTCTTTACTGGCTAAAATTCAGTATTCTTGGAATATATTTCGATTAGTTGAATAGTGGTATCGACCAGTTTCGTAACTAAAACGAGAATAATGATAATACTTTTAATATTATTATCACATAATTCTATATGACATAAGGAATCAGCGAACTCAGTTGATATAATTATATTAAACATAGAGCTATGAAAATAAAATGTAAACTAATTGAGTAGAAAAATATATTTTCACAATAAGATATCTGAAATTTTGCGGAAAAAACGCGTTGATATATTTAACATTAAAACACTCTTCTTACTAGTTTCATTTTTTAACGCTAAACAACCTTCTTTTAAAACATTCATAGATAGTATACGTAGTTTAGGATTACCATCAGCCATTAAATGTATACATCGTAACATCACCTGAAAGTATACATAAAATAAATTTTTTTTAGAGCCGAACCAATTGAGACATTGAAAATAATAATTTGTAAAGATAACAGTATTAATTATGTAGAAATTGATGAATTGAAAATAAACAGGAACCAAATTACAGTAAAGTCTAATATTCGCACATCTATTCTTTATCTTCTCTCTAATCCTAATCTTCTGGATTCCATATGACCTTTCATCTATTTTTAAATTTATTTCACTGGTTTATACTTTTTAAGTAATTTTTTCGAAGCCTAATCTTTTGGATTACCACCAATAATGCTACAAACTCTAATTCTATGGGATTTGAACTGACAATTCGATCTCTGTTTGTTAATGTGATATGTCAACTTGAACTGATGTGCGTACGTAAGTACGTACAAAGTTATACGTCGTAGCTGGCTGACTGACTGTATTCATCGATTCATCCGTATCATTCAGACAAAATAATCACTGAGTACCAAAGCATAAGTAAACTGAACTAGGAAGAAATATACTGCATTACTACTCGTCGACGACAACACATGTTAACTTACTTCCTCTACTGTTTGTAAATGATCAGGGAATGTATGATTTCTGTCAGCATCCATACCGTCATCATCATCATCACCAACATTATTATTGTTATCATCATTATTCATAGAATCCATTTTATTTTTCTCTGATTGATTTAAGTTATCAGTATCATTGATTCCATCAGTCTGATTAATTGGTTCAATAGAATGAAGTGAACGTGTCTCAGATATAAGATTGATTGTTTTTTGATATAATTCAGAGAATAATGATTTGCTAGATTTTGAGTGCAATGCCTGAAAAAAAATATATATACATATACATATGTAAAGTCCAATTTATACTAATAGATATTTAACAGTAACTCTATGGAAGATAATATTTATGGTGATAATGTATTATTTTCAATTAGAGCTTTAGAGATTTGTGTTTTTACGCATTTGAAATCATCAATCAATCATTGTTAGAACACCATTAGAAACCTGGAAGCACTGGACGGCCGTTTCGTCCTGGTATGGGACTCATCAGCAGTGCGCATCCACGACTCCTGCACCTCACAGGATTCGAACCCGGGACCTTCGGTTTTGTGCGCGTATGCCTAACCATCGGACCACTGGTCCGGCATCCAACGGTGTTAATTTCTAACTCTGATTGATCTACGGATTTTGCGCGACCTCACCCATTTGTCTTTGGTAGTTACTGCCTACACCCGACAGGGTTGAACTCCATTGGTCACGTCTTCTCACCAGAACGATAATTTCCTGACGAAGCTAGTCACTAGTGAGCACTGTTAAGATAATGTATTAGATTACTATTAACGACAAATAAAATCGACTAAAGCAAAAACAACAAACTTAACAGAATGAATGTAATGACACAGAAAAAAGGTGTTTTAAAAACAGTACGATTGCTCGTCATTTAATTTGATAACATGCATACTGTCGGCATTTTATAATCGTTTAGAACAATCCATGCCCAAATCACTTTGAATTGGCAATATTTCGTTGAGGCTATCGCTATTAGAAAGTTCAAAATCGAACCTAATTATTGAAAAGCAGATACAATTGTTAATCTTATATTATCCTGGTAAACTCTAATCTTTAGTATTCAATTATGTAACCTTTTATTTCACGTTGTTAAGTACAACTTCCTTTTTTCCACTCTTACATCATTCATCTTATAAGGGTTAGGAATTTTACATTTGTTATTATGCAACTTTGTCAATAGTTGTGATTTTTTAGAAACGTATCTTTGGGCTTTCAAAATTTCTCTTTGCAAATCTCCATATTCGATAATATAAATATTCATTCATATTATCGCTTCTATTTAATTTTCCTATACTTATTACTGTTATTCTATACATGTTCATTTATATGATGTAAAGAGTATGGTTGTAAATAATTATTATCATCATGTCTAGGTGGAAAGCAGTTGAGAAAATCATGAAATAAATAAATTCATATTATCATAGTTTTATATTATGAAATGATCTTGGCTAGACCACCAATGAAAATGAGGAAGTAATGGACAGCTGTTTCGTCCTAGTATGGGACTCATTAGCAATTCGTATCCACGATCGTCCTACAGGGAATTGAACCCCGTGTGCTCAACAGCAAATATCTTCAAGATATAATTCTTGGAGTTTTAGTGAGAAACTGTGACCAATAGAGCTCAACTAAGTCGTAGGTGGGATAGTTAGTGGAAGAAAGTTATGTAATATTGCGAATCGGTCGAAGTTAGTCATTACTACTGTTGGATGACGGTTTACTGATTTAGAGGTTAAGCGTTCGCATGTGAGATCAAAAGTCTTGGATTCGATTCCCTATAATGGAATGTGTGAATGCGCACTGCTGAGGAGTCTCACACTAGAACAAAACTGATCAGTAATTGCTTGTTTTCAGTGGCATTTTAGAATTACGAAAACTCTTTCATTTCCACAAGCCTTATGCTGATTAGAATTAAAATTATTAGTTAAACTTATCAATGAGAAAAATTTGTATACCGAATATGCAGATTTAATTATATAAACACTTACCATTTTCTGTTCATTAGTCACTGACTCATTTACTAAAGGAGTAATATCCGTTCCTTGGTCTATACACCTATTGTCTTTCGTTAATGATTCATTCCATTTACGACATGTTTGCATTAATTGATAAAATGGTCTAAGGAATAGCTCAGTTGTATATTCATATGTAAGATCTAAAGATGAAAGCATCTAATAAAGAAAACAAAACGTTGATTTGATAAAGAATATAATATATATATATATATATATATATATATATATATAGATGAGAATGAGGATTTGGGCAGGTACTGTATTCAAGGAGAGCTAGATGGCTTAAGTGTAACACATTCATTATCTTTAGAATTTCTTTACAAGTGATAAATTGTTTGTTCTATAAACCTGAAATTTGATTTGTTATTTATCTATGAATGTTTGATCGTTATTTGTTTATTTTGTTCATTTGGTTTCACTTGTGATCTGATCCTTTTTCTCTTATTGTGAACGATAACTAACTATTTGTGTGTGTGTGTGTTTTTTCTGCTTAGTGTTTGGACCACTTCCAGGTTCAATAACTCATTTATTTTTCGAAGTATATACAGATGATATGGTGGTTTAGATTGTTAATGAAAACTTTAGAACTAAATCAATCCAGTTCAAAATAACACAAAAAAAAAGAATTGAAAAATTAGTTAAATAAGTTCTATTTAAAATTAAAGTCAATCAGCTAGCTATAACATAGAACTTGATACGTACATACATCAGTTTGAAGTTGTCATGCCACATTAGCACAGATAGATGAACTTGTCAATTCAAATCCCATAGTGGTAGAGGTTGTAGCAGTATTAGCGGTAATGGAAAAGATTGAGGATCGAAGAAATGCCTAAGTTGAACAATATCAAGTTTTATTCTATTGTTAATAATTTTTAGATTATTCCAAGGTCGATATTTTTAACTGGTATGCGTGAATCTTGTGAGGATTGGTTTGATACAATCATTATGGTACAAGTTTTTAAGAGAAAAGATGAAGTGTGGTTACATTACAGATTGGATCGAGATATATGCTTGCTGTACAAGTGCCTGGCTATCTGAACTAAATACCTAAGTGTATAACGCATGGAGCGTTTGAAGAAAACTGCACTCAGTTTGAATCTTGAGGTGAACAACAACTTTGAGAAGCAAGTATATATAAGTGGTCTGTCTTAAATAGAATGAGACGAGCAGCCTAGTCACATTCTATCCATTTTATTTGAAAAAACTCAAGTTTTATATTTCTTTTTGTTTGATAATTTGATTGTATTTCTCCTTCAGTTGTCAAAACCTCGGTAATATATCTTTAACCGTTACACATAAAAATATATACCTTACATGTTAATGTATTCTTATGGAGATAGATATAGACCATCGGGGTTCAGGTCTATCGTTCATTTAAATATTAAAAGTTTAAGATGTATAATACATATACAACAGTATATCTTTTAAAATTAAATTATCAAGCATGAATTCGTGAATTTAGTTTTAAACCACACTCTTAGTGTGAATGCTCCTGATATTACTCGGTTTCAAAAACCATAGTAAATGAGGTGGAGTTTTAACCTGAGAGTTAGAGGCTGAAATTTGAATACCTTAGCTATCAAATCAAAGCTCAATATTACACACAGGTTTGTAAATATATCGAATAGCGAGTTGACTATTTTTAGCTGATACTTTTTACATAAACTTAATACTGTATACACAACAGTTTTGGTTATAGTCAGAAGCGGAATAATAATTTAAACACAATGGTTAAACAAGCATCAAATGATCTTGATATGTTTCTCAACTTCAGAAACTTACAATTAAAACAGAGCACTGATTTATCCAATTAACTCTTCATATGGATATCTGAATATTTTCGTTTAGGTACAACAACGCTTTAACTGACACAGAGACAAATCACCTTAAGTCTTTAAATAAAGATTACGACTAAGTCTTGTAAACTAACAAAATTTTATGCATTTCCTGATGAAGCACAGTCCGACAGAGAATGACAAAAAACTGACAAAATGTTTCGATTTCGGTAAATGTAGGTGGTCAATTTTCGCATAAATATGACACATATGTTTAAAACACCTCTCATTCAAAAAGTTTTCACAGCGTTGTTGACTAATTTATCATTTTAACTTGCACTCAGTCTTCCTTTACTATAACAAAGTTGAAGTGAGAACTAGTTTTTGGTTCATAGGTATCACAGGTGTAGATGGAGAAAAATATCAAAAACTGTAATTCAGTGAATGTGAGTAGCAATGTGACTAAGCAACCAAGAAATTCTGTTAAAATATTTAGTATTCAAACAAAATATAAAATAATCAAATTACTTTTGTAACCATTGGTTTCAAAACTGGTAATACACTAATTGTGCAGTATTCAAACAAAGTGTCTGTAGCATTACAAGCGGATAATAAGCTTTGTTTAGCTTCACTCGACAAACAAGTTGCATTGTTAACATTTGACGAATTCACCATTGTCAGTAAATTAGCGCGGTGTAAATCTAGAGTTATACTGGAAACTAAGTAGTCAACATTAGCTGTAATCAGCTCGCTTACGCTGTAAACAAAACAAAAAAATTGAACGAAAGAAACATAGATGATTTGTATTTTGTATAAAATGTAACTTCACGAGAAAAAACCAAACTAATTAACTGAATGGATTGTAACAAGGTGTTACACATGTGCGTCAACACGTCAATTGATATGCTCGAACTACTACGAGTTCATCTTAGTCAGTAAACGAGAGCGAGGATCAATGATTCAGCGACAGGCTACACAAATCCCAGTGTCCCAAACCCCCACTAAATAGGAGATTTGATATTAAGTAGAACCTGTATTCTACAAGCATCCAGAAAGTACGAGGTCCGAGTCCAGAAGAGGCTAAGAATTCGGGTCATAAAACGTTACAGGTACTGCGTATTTATACACTTAGGTCGAATAGGAAACAACATTGAAGTATGTGACATTGATAGTTAGGACGACCAATAGAAATTGACTAATAGAATTAGAATTACAAATGATCCTCTTAGGATATTGTGTGAATATCCTAACACAAGGTCAGTAGGACAGCTGAATATCTAGAATTCGGACCTTAAACTAATTAAAATTATGCATTACTACCGGAACTGCAAACAAAAATATTATCTAGTGTGGGATAATTATAAATAGCTGTGGCTTTTGTTAAAATAGACATACACAATTCTCAAGTCTAGACAAAAACAAATAACTGTTTACAAATGAATCAAACATTGATACCATCTTCGACGAATGCTGTTTAAATTAGCATAAGATGATCTAGTAACTTGACATTTGGTTCATGAAAACTTGAACTCAGTTAAGTTACTGGTGATGTGTGTAAACGGCTTATTATTAGCAATACAGTAACAAAATGTTAAGCATACAACAGACTGAAAGATGTTAGCTATCACACAAAACAGTAAAACATTCAGTAATGAAGATGTTAGAAAAAAGTAAACGAGTATTTGCAACCAATATCCAACAAACAGCTTGTTTGCCTGTTTTTTCTGAGTTAAATAGTTTAACTGTTCTATGTTATACAGTGTTAGGTAAGTGGTACAAACAGAGAGAAATTGTTCAACAAAAAGAAGCATAATAAAACTAACCTTGAATATAGACAATTCTTAGCTAATTGTTCTAAACAAACTCGTGCAGTTTGACCAATTAAATTAGAATATGGAGCAAATGATATGGTTGGAAGTAAACCAATACGTAAACATTCAGTAAAATGTTGATCAGTATGAAATGTTTCAGTATCATTATTGGATGACAATGTATTCAACTGTTCAATTTTTTTTTGTTTCATGGACAAAAAAAACATCATTATGGCAATACATGGTAGTACATTTTGGAAAATAAACAAGAAGTGTAATGTATACTTTTAATTTACTTCTATTAGTTGTTTATAGTGAATTTTTTTGAGTAATCTTTTATATTCTCTAAATAACTATGAAATCTATCAGATCTGGTTATGAACTATTGTGAAGTATAGTACTCCTTGAACTTCAAAAAGATTACTTTGGAATTTTGTATAGTCCTTTCAATTTGTCTAGTAGTCTTCATTGGTTAAAAAATGAACTAACAATATATTCTGGCTTGATATGAATCAAAGCAGATAATATTCAGAACACTATTCTGATAAGATTTAATGAATAGTTTCAACAGAATAGTGGCACAGTAGTAGTCAACTTTCAACCAACCCAGCCCCAGGTTCAAACTTCAGTTCATCTATGTTAGTTAGTAAAGTCATATGGTGTTAGAACAAGATTTAAACAAATAATGTAGCTTAAACTCGGATATCTGGTATCTGCTTAACGGATTACATTTTTCAACAGGTTATTTAGACGTAAATGTTTTAATTTACCCCCCCATACACATGCATGTATAGTAATGTTGACATAATAATCCGTAACTCTAGACATTCTAATGAAGAATTGTAATTTGGTAGCACTTAGACAAAGGAATCATTTGTTTCAGTAATGTCTTTAACTAATAAGTCGTCACAGTAAACTAATGTCAAAAATGAGAAGAAAGTAAGTTTATCTCCCAAACTAACGCAATATAAGTTATTCAATAGTCACAATATCATATTATCCGGTCCTTGTAGTTAATATGACTCTATGGATCGAATTGTAATGTGGACAATGGAATGAACTTTATTTAATTTCAAGTAGCTGGATGCAAAGCATACCTTCAATCTGGCGTTACCTATGAAGTTCGAATTGGTATCCAGCGGTGGAGATTTCATCACTGTGCTATTTATGAATATCTGTAAGACCTAGCTGTTTCATATTGTCAAATTCTTAGAGTTGATTAGAGTTAATCGATCAAGCCCCAATGTGATATTTTCTAAGTCATTCACCAAGTCGGTGACGCTGAACAATAAGATTTCGAATCCCGAAGGAAATATCATTAATTATTAGCAAAGGCACCTTAAAAATATCTTCAAACCACTTAATAGGTTGCTTGACATTACGACAAGTAGTAGTAAGCTGCAACAGTAACTCAACAAACTCATTACATAGTTTTATCGACTTGATGTTAAAAGTAACGAATAATTTTTTCTAAAAAGGCAACGTAAGCTTACTTGTGAGACAGTACAAAACATTTCTAGCAATAAACAAATTGTGATTGAATTCATTTTCACATCCTGAAGTTGATCTATTTCAAATTTTGTAAAATTCTTATTAGAATTTACAATTGGCCATGATTTGTATGTATTGATATTAGACAAGTGATTGGTAGATGACATTATATCATTTGATTGATTTACTAAAAATGTTGAAATATCTGTATCATTGTTGTAGGTAGTGATGATATTATTACTAGAGGTATTCACATAATCAGATTGACTAGTTGGGAGTGTTAATATTTCTGGATCAAAGTATAAACTCATAAGATTTCTAGCAATAAATTAAAACATATAAACAATAAGGAATTGAAATGAATTTCTATGAACATTAGAAATTAGCACACTTTGATTAGTAAAATAGTTTTGTGAAGTAATTTTATGTGTATGTATGAGACTGACTCTAAGAGATCAGATTAAATGCATTCATTTGAAGTAAATCGATATTGAGACTAGTCCAGTATTACTATGAAGACATAAAATTACTTCAAATGATCCTAAATTACGAAAAAAATGTAAGAAACGTTTCCTCCTTTTCAAAAGTAGTAGAAAATAAAACTCTAAATGGTGACTACTGTATGATTTCTGAATAATTTAAGCACTCTGTATTATGAATGGTTACCAGATATCAGGATTATAACAACTACGTAACTGTATACTTTGAAATCATGAACAGTTTATCAATCAACGATATTAGTGAGATAATTTATCTAATATATCAATATTTATTTTACTTCATTCTGATATACTCGTCAACTGATATGCTTGAAACTATTACGAGTTCACCTTACTCGGTAACGAAAGCAAAGACAAATGATACAGTAACACGATAGGCTATTCTAATCCGTTGTCCTAGGCCCTGCTAACTATATCAAGAAGTCTTGATAAGGCGTAGAAAGTGTATTCTACAAGCACCCAGAAAATATGAGGTTGATAAGCGCACAAATCGAGTTTATTTACACATAATAGAAACGTCCTTGGGAGAGCCACAAAAATAGTGTACTAAGATACTACATCAACCAATAACAGTCAAGGATTTTCTGGGTGGGAAATGTGATCTCAATGTCAACTGATCAGCTTATGCGCGAAAACATAAAATCCAAAGTTAGGACCTGTATCAAGTGAGTTCTGGGGATCTAACGTCCCCAACACATTCAAAGTTTATGATTATTTTGAATACGTAGTTTTCTAGCACTAACTTATTAACGTAGACAACTATCATAATCCATTCGTCTCAGTGAAGTACGAAAGAACTACTAAATCCCAATTCATGTATACACCGTTTTTATATGTTTTAATTTTCATAAATTCTTGTTCATTTATTACAAACTAATTAATCAGTTCGCTATGGTTTAGTTATGGTCATAATATAATGTTATTTAGTTATGATGAGGTGTTGTCAAAATGTTACTCTACATCATGGTATGAGTGTGATTCGTAAGTTTGAACTGTATAGTTAAAAGTATTCTACTTGCTATGTTGTATTCTATGCTGATTATTTAGGGAGTGAACATGAGCGGATAGAATCTGAACCGATTGTCGTCAAGTGTTATCCTTAGCTATTATATCACTTTCGTGTCACTGGTGAGTAAAAGATTATTGGGACTAGATACACAATTTATATGTAATGATCAAAATTTCAACTAGATCATACAACCGATTTTGAATGATTACGGTCTGGTCATATGAGCTGCAAAATAATATAAGTCAACCACTGGCCTGTACCTTTTCTATCATAGCAACACTACAAACAAAATAATGAGTTACATTTCTTTTTAATTTTTTTCCAGAGTTGTTCAAACTAACAATATACAGGTGATTGTTAATTGGAATTCAAGTTGATTAAGTCAGCTTTGTGTTTTCTAACTTCATACCATACAAACAGGTAGTAGACAAATATATCAAGTGTAAGTGAAGTTCTATCAAATTATGATTTTACACAACATGTAAGTATCGAACATTCAGTCAACAGAACAAGATTTTAAAAAAAAACAGGCTTACAAACAAAGATTTTCACGTTCACTCCATGGAATATTATCTAATATGAGGAACAGAGGAAAAAAGGCAAACAAAGGAAGTGTTTGTACAAAAATAAACCGAATATAATTGAAAATAAAGGCATAGAGAAATGTATATCTGCTTTAATAAAAGGACGGCAGAATAACAGATAATCAGAAATCAGGTTGGATACTCTCAATTTCGATAAGCTACCATGAAGTTAATACTTTGTATTAACAGTTAATTAACGCATTGTATTCCTGATTATAAAGGTGAAAGTCCCCATGTATATCACAAGTAAGAGAACTTTAACTACCAAACTGTTCTATACATCGTTTCTTAAGATTAATATTTAGTTACAAATTTAAGGATTAAAAAACAAAATCAAATACATATAAGTATATTTATAATTATAGGAAAAGTTACGAGTAATTGTTCTGTGATAGGGGAAGAAAAGAATTGCAGCTTAACAATATGTTCTCACCCAATTGTAGTTGCTACCTTGACTTGGTGATCGGAGTTGCCGATCACGATGATTCAAACGAGATAGAGACTAGGACACTTGTTTATTTAATCCAACCGTGTCAATCACTCAGTCAGTTACAACGCTGAACTTCGTACGTAAGTAAGTAAGTTCATGGTGCCATACTACATTGACACAGAGACGCAAATGTCAAATCGAATCCCATAGTAGCAGAGGTAATATCAGTAATAGCAGTAATTGGAGAGATTAGGGTTCGAAGATATTATTCAAGAGGTGGAATCTAGTGAAATAAACTTAAAAATAAAAAGGTGATGAGTAATTCAGGTTAGGATTTGAGAGAACACAAAGAATGAATGCACCTGCACCACTGCAAACGGTTTTGAGCCATGTCACTCAGGGTCTCTAACCATCGATTATTATCATCTCGCGGACCCCAACCACGTAGTCTGCATCTACCAACATGATTCAGTCAACTAGTCAGTGACTTCATGGATTTCTGCCATGTTTTGGTTTGGTCGGCCCTACCTTTCTTCCAAACTACTCGTAAACCGCAAAACATAGCTCGACGAAGCAGTCAGTGGTTGTGCATTCGTAACACATGTCCCAAACACCTCAACTCATGAGGTTTCAATACTTCATATATTGATTTGCTATCCCTAAATAGTAATCATTTCCTAACTATAGTATTGCTTACTCAGTTGTCCCAGCATGCACGGGCAATGCTCCGAAAACACCTATGATCGAATACTAATGGCCTACGAATTTCCTCCACTCTTACCGGTCATCTTTCACAACCATAAAGTTGGACGGAGCGAACTGCTGCGCGGTACACTCGTAATTTGGTTAGCAAGCGGACATCTCGCCTGCGCCATAGGTGACGCAAGTTGGCAAAAGTCAATCGAGCTTTCTGTATCCGTGCTGAGATTTCGTCACACACCAGGCCATCAGCACTGATGAGACTCCCAAGATAAGTGAAGTGGTCAGAACGCTCAACTGCTTCGCTCCCTATTACTAGTTTAGGTACCGATGCAACGCAATCCTGAGGCAACATTTTGCATTTCGAGGGGGAAAGCCGCATCCCGAACATGTTTGGATTGTTGCTCAGGGTAGTCAGCGTCTTCATCAAATAAAACTGTCATCGAAATATCCTAAGTCAACCAGTGAATCTCCTATTAGAGGGTCCACTCCTGAAAAGTCAGATGAGACAAGAAAAAAATAATATAATAAATACTAAAAATGTGCACTCGCTCGTAGATTTCCTTTTATTACGATAAAAAATGACAATTTTAACGACAATGGAAAAGTTTATAAATAAAGATTTCGGAATTAAAATCACAGCTCCACAAGCCCAGAGAGCAAATCCCTTGGTATAACTGTATGGATAGGTATAACTCATTTGTCAAATAAAATGTTAGGTACTCCGATATAAATTACACTGTTTGTATGAAAGTTAACGAAACTATTGAGCTGACCAAATCAAAACAAGTTGGTTGGTGTTCGAACCTAAAGGGTAATGTGGTTGAAAGATTTCAATAATTAATTAACCACTTCTATTTACAAATCGAGTTATAGTTGAACATACTGCTAATTTCGAGTTAAACAGAAAAACTCTCTTTCACAAAACAATATAGATGGAACTATCAGAAAAATATGCTACTATGTACTTGAAATGAATCATAGCTATGAGATAACAAAATAAAATTGACTACAACTACCACTGAATAACTTACTGTTAGAGATATAACCAGCAATTCCACCTACGATAAGTAGAAGACATGAATTACGCAGAGCATTATCACTTTCAATCATAATATCTCGACATATATCCAGAAATAGGTCAACTGTTTCTCCTGTAAAAATTAAAAGAAACATAAATTTTGATATTCTTCAAAATATGAAACAATGACTCTTTGCGGAAAAGGTTCATGGTACAGACAATGATCACTGTATGCCGTGTATAATGCACTAATAAATGATAGATGTGTAATAGCCCTTAGAAAAAATACACTGTTTACTTGTACAAAAGACGGGTTTGTGAAGATCGTATTATTTCCACAGTTGAGATCATGAACCGATCCTAGCAGCTATTCAAAATTTAGACTATTTTAGATCACGTATTAAAGATTATTATGATCATTATTCAAATTAATTTGCCCCAAAAGGTGAAACCAGTGAAAAAAACTACTTCAAAAGTAACAAGCACTAAGCAAATACTTCGCAATACGTAGTTTCATACACTGCAAGATATGCCAGCATAAGACAAAACTAATACGCAGGCACATACTACCGGTTAACCAAAAAAATGAAATTTAGGTTTTCTAGTGTCAAACAATTGATTCCTGGGAATGAACCCAGGTACTTACATACATATCAGCGGATAGCCTTGGCTACTGTTTTACGGGAGACACGATAGTTACTCGGATATGTGGATTATTGGCCATTCAAGTAAACACACATAGAAAAACCAGACAAAACCCCATAAAAGAAAATGGAGACAAACTTACTTTGAGATGCTATTTTTCCAGCAATAGCTTGAATTAGCATCAATGTTGAATAATCACGAAAATATTGAAATGATTTCCGGAATAGGTTACACGGTTGTATAGTATTTTCTCCAATACACTGAACTAGCAAAAAAAATGCAGTTACGTAAAAACAATAAACGAGATAGAAGATAATTGCTCTGTTATGAATCTATAATCCATGAGTTCAGTCTAGTCACCAAGTTAACTACGTTATGAATCAATACAGTACAATGTCGTAGTTTAGCCAAAATCCGTAAGATAAGGCGAAGAGAATTTCAAATCAATAACGTAATTTTCAACAGTAAGTTGGGATGCTGTTGTTGAAATTGACATTCTAACATTATTCAGTGGTAAAAATTAAGATATATTGCCACCGAGTTAGTTTACTATTTGATAGTTAAACAAACAGATTACGAATAAAATTTATAGTCCATCATTATTTACCAGAAATACAATTAGATAAATCTGTTGGCTGTTAGATCATGTGAATAAACGCCACTATCTGTGAACCGTCAATCCAATAAAATTTGTAACTCCTTCTTTTAAGTTTTAACTATTGACATAACGTACAATTACTGAATTCATATTAGTATTACCGTAATTAACCAAGATGAAGATACCGTCATACAGTGATTCCGGGTTTTTAGTGACGATCTAATGCTAATTAGTTCACGGTTTAAATCAAATTTTCTTGTTGCCAAAGCACAGTCCATTTGAGTGCTTACATTAATAGAGCAATCTCATGAACAATTATAGTTCGGATACATGGTATCGTCCTTGATGAACATACTGATAATCAGTCCAAGGATGCTCGAAAGTCGTCATTCATCGAAATGTTTGAAAATTTTCCTTCAAAGCATTGATAAGTACGTCTGATATGAGTCAGATCGGTTTGTTGAACATCTTAGCAACAACAGCATCTTGCCCATGGGTTATAAGGTCATCGACCAGAAATTTCCACAATATTAAACGCACATACCGCAAACAATAGTAGAGCTTCGTCGAAAGATGGTTTTGTAGTAACATACATTATATTATGTATGAAGGGTATGTGGGAAAGGTTGGAACTAAACTCAGAATATTTAGGTCTTGCAGCGAGCTCTTACCTTTTGGGCCAACGAATCGACATCCAATACTGCACATGCTTAACTTTCATCAATTTACAACACTGCACAACCCTCTTCAAATATCACTGGTGGATAAGCCTAACACACTCGACATAGTTGAACTTTACTAGCCACGGTTTCGTAATCGAAATCAAGAAGTTCCTTCTTAAAATTAATCACTAGTGATGATACAATTATTACTATTATAGATTGTTGAGTTATAGATTTTACATCAAAGTGGAGTCAATTGTGCCCAGTACCGAGTAATACCGTACTGAGGCATAACAACCGATCAGTGTTGTCTGATTCTCAATGGTTTTCTAGCTCAAGTCAGTCTGTGGAGTAAACTATAAAATTAAAATGTTTTGCACATACAAACAACGACAACTGAATGTTTTCAACTTTAACCATTTGAATTTCTGAAACAAAAAGAATACTAAATAAAACGCATAATGGATACTGAACATGAAACTTCAATAATTCATTTCAATTACCAGAATTATGACAGTAATTTAGTGGCAGCAAATTGACTTGTTCTTGTAATTCAACAGAACTAAAATTGAAGTTCAAAAACTTGGCTAGAGCAGAACAAAAGCGATGAAAAGTTTCAGATGAATGGACAAAAGTACAAATATCCTCAGGATCTGAAGCAAGTACAAGTAAAAAGAAAAATAACACAGAAATTTATAGTCGTCTGATTCGAAAACACATAAAATGCAAAATAAGTTTTGACAGATTAAGCATTCATTTAGGATAAAATCAATTAACACAATCTTATTCTCCTAGCATTAAACTGATAATTAGTCGATTGAAACATTTAAGAGATTGCAGAGTATCAAGCAAACATAAAAACACCAACTAAAAATTAGGTTGCTATAGAGGGTTTTTGGAGATTTTCTGAATTTTACTGGTGGCAGAATTGTGAATGCACACTGTTGAGGAGTCCCATACTAGGAAAAAACACTTCTAGTGCTTCCTGGTTTTTGATGGTTGTATAACTCAGGTCAGTCTATTATTTTAACCGTAAAAATGATACATTTTTGTGGAGATAAAAACTTGATCGTTGCCGGTTTATTCAACATTATTTCAAGACAGTTTATTGTAATCGAATTGTTTGAATTGTTAAAGTCATGATGCATAACATGTGAATAGTAGCAATGAAATTAATGATTAGAATTTATAGAGGGAACCGTTTATTATGTATGACTGACAAGAACTTGGAGTGGAGATAGACTAAATGAGTCTGGATGATTTCATCATCCGTCTATGACTATTCTCTAAAATACATTTGATACTGTTGAGGTTGAAGTAATTTACTCGGCTTTCAATACATGAAAAACGAGAAAATAAGACGTAGATCTTAAAACTTACAATTCGCTGTCATGAAAATGTTGCATACACACTTTCTCATAGGTTATATAATGTGATAAGGATTTATAAAACGTAGGAATGGAAGTCACTGCCTTCTCATGGTGGAGGGTTTTGTTTACAAAGTTGAGCACAAAAAACGAGTTTCCCGCCAGGGCTGGTATTTACGGTGTATGCACCTAGGGGAGTTGGAAAACCCCCATTCCAAACCAATGGTGCACATGGGCTCCAGGATCATGACGGGACAAGCCTGTTGTTGACCGCCGGCTACCACTGGACTGCATCTCTTAATGTTGCTCGATTGCCTTGTCGATTAGACTTTTGGGTCAAAGGATTAGGGAGTGGCCCGCAAAAAAAAACCACCTGTTTCAGTTTGGGCACTCGGGCAGTATCCCAACACACTCAAATTCATTGATTTGTGTAAAGTATAAGTGTCTAGGTGATCCTTTGTACCAATATTTTTGTTTAAATGAATAAATATAAGAATTAATCGGGTAAATCTAATCGAAATACTGTAGTCAGGAGACTACATCAACGTTATTAAGATAAATATAAAAAATATAGACAATTTGAAATTACCCAAAACATTTAGATGACCAAGGATTGTTCTAAATCGCTTCTGCAATTGTGACTCATCTGAAAGTTAATCAAATATGAGGCAATACCAATTAATATTTAAACTATGGATATAATTAATAATGGGAGAGATGAATAAACTTTATTAGTTAAGGTAATAGTGTACAAGCTAATGTGCTAATTTGTAAGTCATGACGTAGTTAATTACCTATCTGTCAAGTCGAAGTATGTTAAGCTGATTTCGTTAATAAACTGATCTAATACTGAGTATTCAAATGATTGAGCTATGGTGTAGTTAAAAATTGAAAAATCACATCTACGGTATAATTCCTCTAAGAAAGATGACTAAAACTCAATGTTAATATAGTTTTTACCCACCCCCCTACAGTAAAAATCTCAATCGAGTTTTAAAGGAGAAGATATTGATAATTATTAGGTGAACTCGAGAACACCAAATAACAACTACTTCGTCAGTAATAAATGAATTTGTGGATTCGAGATTTTATTCGTTGATAATAATCAACAGATAGATAATGGGATAAATAACTGGAGACTTGGCAAATGTACATCGGTAAAAACAACAAATATTTATTTCGGTCACTTGTACACTTGTAGATTAGCATCCAGTGAGTAGGGGATATAATCCAATAGATGAGAATATTAGAACCATGCATAAATTGCAAGAACTGAAGTATGAATTTGACAGCATGCTTTAATTTTAGCGAAACTACGCATACACAATGACTCAGAGACCAAAGATAGGTTTATAACTAATTAGTTTAGTGGTGAAAACTGTAACTTAAGAAATACAGTGACTGAGAACATTAAGATGATTTTAAAACGAATTGTGATTGCCCTTTGATGAAGAATACGATTGCATACAAAAAGTATCTATTATTACTACTACTGCTCGCTTTTTATCATTGCAGTTGCATAGCTTAGTTAGTGATAATTAAACCACATAATTATGGATTGGATTCTACTTGACATCGGTATTAAGAAATTTTGTTTCTCGACCATTTCCAACGACTGCAGACTAAATATAATATAGGATATTTCCACGCGACTAACAATTATCAAGATCAGTCATCTATATTGTAGTTCAATGAATACGTTTAAATAACCCAGGAAGATGCTAACTGGAAGCTAAAAACAGGATGACTTTTAGGAGACTGAAGGTCCTGAGTCCAATTCACCTTTGCAACATCGTGGTGCGCACTGTTGAGGATTTCCACACTAGGACGAAATGGCTGTCCAGTTTTACCAGGTTTTAATGATCTAATATTGATCGGTTCATGATTTTCGACAAAAAATGAAACAATCTCTACAACCCTATAATATGATAAGAATAACGTTCCCCCAACAAGTGATCCTGAATATAATTCAGTTTACAAAATAAAAATTATGAAGTCTGACAAGTGTTCGAAATTATTATAAATTGAAAGTAAATCTATATACGTAAACTTACCTAAGAGAGTGAACAGCTGACTTAAAAGAAAGTCTGTTTGTTCTGTTAAAGAATCAAAACCAACCTTCCTTATTAATTCATGACCGAAAAGGTTGTTAACCGATTTAGGAACTATAAGCGAGTTCACATCCT